GTGGAAAGTAGCATGCTGTCATCAGGCTGAATGTTTGCACGAGGCAGACTGAGATTCTGACTTGGATGACGTTGTTTGTAGCGCACTTCCATGCCTTTGAAGAGACTTGAAGGTAGAGCTGAAAGAAGTCGTATTCGATAAAGAGCTTCTTGAGCTCCGAACTTTGGGCGGAGAGGAGGGGAACGATAGCGTCGTGGAATCGGAGGAATACTGCGAGCCAGTGCATCGATAGTTCTTCGCTGTCGAGAGGGAAAGACAGGAAGGCCTGGTGGAGGCAGGATAGTACGCGGAGGAAGTTGCCTGACATCCGCTGTCCAATCAGGGGTAACGCCTGTTCGATGACTTGTATCACGGTTTTGCCGAACAAGTCGTGGTTGGTTAGAGCTTCGAGGAACACCACATAGCCAGCGTAGTCGTCGTGGTCGGCGCTGCTTAGGGGCTGGGTAATCCATGTAAAACAGAGGGGATCGCAGAGCTGCTGAAGTGAAGAAGCGTCGTTGGTCTCGAGACTTTCCAGGAACCCCTTCATTGCTTCCAGCAACCTGTAGGGAGTGCGGCACATCCGTTGGAACAGGATAATGATCGTGAGGTTGACCATGAGCATCCTCACGATACGGATGTCCTTTCCTGGGGCGGATAGAAGGAGATCGAGGATATCGAGGACGGCCGACATTGTTCGAGCAACGTCCGGAGCCAACACGGGCAGAATTTCCCCTGTCGTTATCTGTAGGCTGGCCAGAGTTTCGGTCATGAGCGAGATAAGTACTCCTAGACCCAGAAAACCGTCTTCTGGATCGTTCGGCCAGCGCCTTCCTAGCTCTTCGATGGCCTTCAGGGAGCCTAATTGTGCGCCCACCATCAGCTATTCAGGATCAATGTGAGTGAGTGAACAGACCGGAATACTATGCCTGAGCGTTACCTCATAAAGTTCGTCCTTTTCCTTCGTCGCCATGCTCATGGTATTCGTCGACATCGGTGGTTTGCTGAAAGTTAAGGAACGATGTCAGCCAAGTCCAACCTTTGAAAAACTATTAGCATGAAATGCTTAGTCACTCTCAGCTCTCTGACCCCTAGCGCTTTCTTTGAATAATGGGCCGTTTTTTCAACAACAGGTGTGCGTATGTTGATCAGATACATTACACTGACCCTGGTACTTAGTCGTTCCAAGCTATTGGAACTTGGCCAACGCTGCGCGAAAAAGCAGATTCATGTTCGACGGCATGTCAAGGTGGCTGTGCCGGGAATCCTGCCGATGATGACATCAATTTCCAACCAGATGCGCCCGCGCACCGGGAAAAAACGCATGTCGAGGGGGTCGACTCCTGAAGTATTGCACTTGAGAATCAGAGAGCGAGAAGAGGACTTTATTCTGCCACGAACTTGCACTGGAAGATATGTGATCCAATGCAGTGAGTATTCCTTCTGGAAGGCGCAAACCCCACGTGTAATATTGCGGTGCAGTAGCATGTACAGGCCTGTCTAACGCTCAGATTCTGAAATATGAGAATTACAAAATACATTTGAATCTGTGAACTCCTCGCGATGTGGCGTGGGGTCTCGGTGCTCATAGTTTCAATCACCCACTAAAACCCAATACCACGGAATGTGGCGATCTCATATCTGAGTCTACCAGTCTGTCCTGGAGTCAGGTTGTTCATGCAAGAGTCGTCGGTGTAGTCCATGTAGTTATCTGAGTTTGAATGAGATTAGCGCTTTGACATGTCTTCCGTGAAGGACATGCTCTCACGAATAGGATCAACACCAGCGCCAGGGCAGGTATCGCGGCCAATGGGGCATCCAAAAGCAGGTCCGTTCTCTGTAGGCGTGTCGGGAACCTCGTCTCCCGTCGGAGAGCAGCCTGTACCCTGGAAAGTGTGTAATAATCCAAGCCAGTGGCCGACTTCATGGACAAGAGTCTGAAGACGGACGTCAGCACAGAGAAGATGACCATCCCCATTCGCATCCTAGTTCCCTGGACGCACCATCCCAAGATTGTAAGGCGCGAATCCACCACCGGGGACGGTATCCCAATGAATAACTGGAGATGTAAGTTGGGAATCGAGTAGGTAGATCCAAAGGACATTGAACTAACCGACACCGTCCATTTGAGGTTCAATAGAGTAGTCCCAGGGGAAACTTGCGTATCCCAGAAGGTTAGGACCTGCCGTGACGAGGCTGACAGAAAGGGTCAAAATGGGCCACTTCTTAAAGGACACTATGTTCGTGAATCATGAATCCTCACTCGGTCGAATAAATGTTCAGGGTATCAGCCCCGCCAACCTTGAGCGCCGACATCATCTGGTACTCCAACCAGTTATACTTCTTGGCGCCGGTGAACCAATTTGCATTGGTGGTGCGAGTCGTCCCGGCCAGAGTAAACGACAGATCAGTTCCAGAGAAAGCCGAATTGAGTGCGCTGATTTGGTTCGTAATCTGAGAAGACCTAAAGCACCCTCAGTTTCCTCCGGGGGAATTAGAGGGTCAGAGGTGACTTACGCGACGTCTCCCTGGGCGTAGGTGGTCCCCGACCTCACGACGTGAAACCACACATTGATGACGCGAGGTGTGTAGGACTGGATGCCCATGTCAGCGAAACCCTGTAGGGTGACATTTCCATGCGCTTCCTGGGCGGAAGCGACTTGGGCGTCCGTGAGCTCAGAGCCACATGTTCGCCGGCGGTTGCCGATGCGCCTAGAGAGCCTGGTTATTGGGATAAAAATGACAAGGGAAGAGTAGATTCGTACTGAGCACTGGCAACCGATGCGATGACCGTTAGAGCGCTTGTCAGCATCAATGAGAGCCGCATCGTAGGAGAGGTCTCGTGTACAGTAGAGGAATGAAGCTCCTCTCTACTGTTCTGCTCAACCGAAGTGAAGCTTTTATACTTTATTGGCGTCAATTCGGGTCATTACCAAAATTTGGGCGGGTATGCGACGCCCACACAATCAATGAAAATCGGCGAGTTCGGTATGTGGAAGATTGTTGCCCATCAGTCTTGTAAGCGGTATCGTCTTACATGCGTACCTCGACCACTGTAGGACTTCCATGCCGTCTACATCGGAAGGTCGCATCCACCCCTGGACGTCGGACGATGGACTATACGGAGGCGAGATAATGCCCTCCGCGCTGCTTGGCTCGGCTTATCCAGATATCATCAGAAGGCATGAGCTGATGAGCGTAAAGCACTCCCATTTGTCGACTAGGGCGCACTGAAGGCGATACATCAGAAGATGCGTGGGGTCATGGGCGCTATCGGCTCTGAACCTAGACGTCATCTGATACTTATTTCATAACAGTATCAGGTGGACCTATCAGAAGGTATAATGATAATAGGAGGCTCGTTAACAACGATTCGATATGAGTTGGGACGACTCCACTCCTATATTCAGAAGGAACAACAGCGCTCCTTACACCTGTCCTGAAGTGACCCTGTTTTTACGATTCCTGTAGCAAAGCATTCAATATTAGCGCTGGCCTCGACTAAACAAGAAGAGAGAACGTACTCGACCTGCATCATTCCATTCCGAATACGAGATTTATCCCAATTCTGGGACATCTCGTCGGGATTCAAAACGTCAAAGAGAATGAGGAAGTGAAGTTTGGGTCCAACAGGACCACCTGCCACCGAAATGGAAAACAAATGGAGATCTCGATTCGCCTTCGCCTCATCAACGAGGCTTTCGAAGCGGACCGGTGACCAAGAGTACTACCTCTTGGCTGCTTTCCGACGGTACTTCTCCAGTGAAAGGGTGGTGTCGGTCTCGCTTGCGAATGACCTAAGGACGTAGATGAAGTCCTTGGAAGCCATGGCGTTTACACCAGCGTGATGCATGATGCAGAGCGTTGCTTTCTCGATAAAGTTTGAGTCCTTCAGAGCGTTCATCTGGCGCTGGATGGCTAGGAGGTGAATGTGCCGTGAGCGATGAGGGACCCATAGGCCCTCATTCCTGAGAGCTGAGAACGGGTACTTCATTTAGATTTAAAGAGGTGGAGGAAAGCATCTTGGAGCTCACCATCTTGGTCGACTTCGAGGACCTTGCACTCGTGCTTGTGAACCCGATCCCAGTCGTCCACCTGACAAGCTTCACCGTAGTATGCGACGGAATGACACCGACCACAGACCTTAGCTCTCTCTCTGGAACTGCCTGGGGAAATCTCGAAGTGCGACAATGAGGACCGTCAGTCGAATGTCAACGAAGGATGGGTTTAAGAGACGTACCCGCGAGTTCTGGCAGAGAACCGGGTCGCCTGGGTACGAAGCAGTCATGGCACCATGGCGGAAGTTCAAGCCCAACATGGCGAAGGACATCCATACCTTGGCGCCTACTGCGCGTCCGGACATCATTCCAGACACGAAGAATTACATCGTGGACTCCGGGAGAGCCTCCGTGAAACTCTTCAAGTAATTGGCGACGCGACGCGACATCATCTGGAAGGCGAGGTCGAACAAGGCCTTCATGAGAGGCCCGGTATCAGTATCGACTCGAGCTTCGAGGAGGCCATGGAAGATAACGTGGAACGCTCCCATGTCGAGTAACTCGAGAACGATCTTGGTTGTGTGAGGTTTGTGGTCGTCCACGAAATGGAAGAGGTTGGCGGTGAAGTTTGAGAACATCCGTTGGGAGCGGGTCTCGGTCATGATTTGGCGTGCGCTCAGGAGAAGTTGGAGGTAGCGACGGTGGTAGTTTTCGCGGAGGAGGTAGGCAGAGAAACGAGTGTCGGAGACGAGGTATTCCAGGCTTCTGTGGACGCTACAGAAGAGAGAGTAGAGCTTTTGCTCCCCGACTCGTCCACTTCCGGCTTCATCGAGCGCAGCCTGGACATACTCGAACGAGTAGAGTGAGTTTTGGGTAAAAGTCTTGACTGTGGCTGTTGGGGAGGCCAAAACGGCGTCGAACAAGATCTTCCTCGCGACACCATGGCGGTAGATGATCTCCATGATCTTCGATAGGGCATCATACCTGAACTTGACCGCGTCGATGCTGGCGATTAAAAACGCGATCGCGACACCCATGGCGCAAGGTGAGGTCAACACAGCAAACTTGAGGTCTCCTTCGAACATAACAAGGGCTCCGAAGAAAGAGAGAAGGGTTCCATAGGCTAGTTTGTCATCCCGAAGAACCTGGCGCATCCAAGAGAGCACGATTTCGAAAGCGTCGAGTATGATGGCGGAGAGTTGGCGGAAGAGGTCATCCCCACCGATTGGACTGGCTGAGATCAAGATGAGAGAGATCCCTTGGAGCGTGTTATACGCGTCTTGGATCTTGGTTCTCCATCGTCTATGAGCTTCTCGAGAATCGGTGGGACGAGGTGGTTGGATCGTCGCATCAAGTCGAGCGATCAAAGATTGAACTTTGTCGATCGCCTGTTTCGAGTTTTGGGGAAATCGGGGCATGAAAGGGTTCATTTGAGGAAGGTCTTGATTAAGCATCTAGTGACCGTTGTTTACAATAGATACTAAAAGGATAATTGGACCACAACGTACGTGATTGAAGGCTCCTCTCGATCTCGATGCTGAGCCTCGTGAGTACCCTCCCCTCATGATACGCGACATTCTGGATGAGATATTTTGAGCAAATGAGGGGCTTTGGGCTGGACTACTCGTATGAGAAGGTATCGCCGATCGGCTGAAAAGGAGAGTGGAAGATATTGGACTGGTACCGAGCCTCGAGGCTCGTGTTGTTCGATCACGTGGTACGTATCTTGGCGCAAGTCTGCACCATGAGTAAGGGCCGCGAAAAGAACACTCCTGCCTGGAGACAGATCCTATTTGGTTCCTTTGCTCTTGTACATTCCAGTTCATAGGTCTTCATTTGATACCCCTCTACAACGCCCTAACCCTCCGAACTTCCCACTTGACCATGGCACCTTCCTTGATCATCGTCTCTCCCTCAGTCACACCCGCCACGTCCAGAGGCACTCCTCCACTTCCGTTGGCACTCGCTCTCGTCCTTGTAAGTATGATAATCTTCCCAGACCCCGACCCATCACTCGTCTCCCAATGATCGACGCGTCTCAACTTCGGACACCGCCAAACCAACATGCTGGCCATCCAATCATTCTTCTTCATCCTCGAGCGATCCATGAGTGACATCTGTGCGAGCGTAAGTTGGGTTTGGGAGTGTGCGGTTGGTGATTTCGATGATGACGCAAGGTGTTGGTGGTCAGTCGTTGAAATCGAACTGTCGTACGAATGCGAGTGTGATGCCAACGAGGACGATGTTGGAGCGGAGATGGGTGAGACGGACGTCGTTCCCGCAGCGAGGACGGGACCGGATGCTCCATTCAGCGCCGACACCTCGTAGAAGAACTTGACCCCATGCAGCGCCCTCAACTCGGGCAAATCCACCAACACCTCCAACCATTCCTCCATATTCGTCACGGGGGCAACAGCACCGGCGCGCTGGGCATTGCCCACGCCCAACCGCTTCCCAAGATCGAGGTAGGTGATCCCGGGGACGCTCTTCGCCAACTTGCGGAGATCATCCATGTCGTGCCATCCTCCCAACTCGACGCGTTTGATGGTACTGGAATGGCGTTTGAGGTTTGAGAGGAAGAGCTGGTCTGGGCTCCGATTGGATGAGGGGACGTGGTGCGATCCGGAGAGGTTGAAACCTTTGACGACTTCGAGTGGTCTCAGGACTTCTTCTCCGAACCCATCGAGATGCAAGTCCGTCGACGAGGCGAAACATGGGGAGTCGAGGATGCAGTTGATGACCTCCCGCGATGCTTCGACCTCCCGCAGCCTGGGAAGCGAGTTAATTGGGAGGTCAATGCGAGTGAGCCCACGAAGGTCGATGAGATTGAGGGCTTCGATGGTTGGGTGCGATGAGAGGAATTGCGAAATGGCTGTCTGGTTTGTCGACCAGATACCGCCGAGTCGAAGATTTGTCAGGTGGTTCCAGTGCGTATTCTCCCCTCCGATGTTGAAGAGATGGTCGACCTTAGGGTGGAACAGGAAACCACTGGGGGTGGGACCAGCAGGACGTGTGTAGTCGATAGTGAGAGACTAGGGGCGTAGTTGTGAGTTATAGACGCGACGCGAGGAATACGGTAGACGTACCTCTAGGTTGGGACACCTTTCGAGCACTCCGGCAATTCGCGTGAGGTGTGGTAGCTTCCCAGCACCGTATGTGTGTCGAGCCGAGGTGAAGGTGGCAGTCTTAAGAGCGGTCAACTGTCCAAGTGGTCAGAGGAATCACTGGCGAAACAGCCAACGAACGCATACGTTGGCTCGAACCACCCTCTTCCCATGTCCAGCTTCCTCTTCCGAGCTGTCGTCCGACGTTTCCTCGTTCGTGCCAGACGCGGTGAAGACGAGGTTGTTGCAGACCTCCATCCTCTCCAACGTGCACCCAGTCCTTTCCATCAGGGTTTCCCAGATCCTAGTCATCGAAATCGGGGAATGATTGCAGCCCCACTTGAATTCCTTCAACCCCGTCATCCTCTGTAATGCCGCCAAAAGGTACTTCTCCTGCTTCCCATGGATACCTCGATGCCTGACCTCGTCGTCGGTCGAGTCCAGGTCGGTGTCGCGAAGGTTGATACCACGAGGGAGGACGACGGCGTTCTTACTGGATAAGGTCGAACTCGAGTCGGGATTGACGAGTCGGGGAAGGGAGACCTTCGCTCTCTCGTCGATTATTTCCAGCCTTCGTACGTTCCTGGCCAACGACCTGTGGATCGAGAGGTGGTTCCACACGCTGATTGACGAGACCTTGCACTTGACGACGCGATAATCGAAATGTCGCGGGAAGACGATGTCGTGGAGGCGTTTGCAGCAGAGTCCGATGTTCAACAAATCCTTCTTCGAATCCACGAAATAGATGATAGCGTCGAGGATTTCTGTGGGCTGGAAGGCGAAACCTGAGATGACTGTGCGGTCTGCTGCAGAGGAGTTGGTGGCCATAGAGAGAGCGCGAGCGCCCTGATAGACATATGGTTCGACGATCGAGAGGAGGTGGAGAGAGAGGGAGTGTTCTGCCGCGGTGAACTTGTACTGACATCCTCCGATTTTCGTCGATAGCGAACTGACGAGCTTCACCAACGCGTTCAGAGCTCCAGTTGGGTCGGTCCTCTTATAGCTGTTGAGATTCGTATTCACCGCATTTCTCGATCGAGGTTGGAGGGTGCCTGGAGCACGGTTCGAGGTTCGAATAGGGGTGTTCAGCCCGGATTTCGAGCTGGCGACATGGCTGGATGGGGTGCTATTTCGAGATTTGGAGGGTTTGAAGGAGCGCCCACTGGGGGCTGGGTGGGGCATGACTGACTCGGCGCGAAGGATAAGACAGGTCGGAGCCGCAATAGGCTTTTATCTGTGTTCACAGCACCTGACCCGGTCCTTTGCGGCCGTCCTGGTGGCCATCAAAAGTGATAGTATGTCGACAGACATTGTCACATGGTACAGCCACCCTGTCAGTCGGCGGCAGTACTGGAGCGGCCAGAAGGCTGAGCGGGCACAATGCCGCACATCGAGTCGATCAGAGCCTTCTAACGGGGTGTGAGCAGGCTACGAGGTCAACAGTATGGAGTACTTACCCTGAAGCGATCCAGCACATCCTGCTCTGGTCGACCTGCAGGGAGCGGGGGAGATCTTTGTGGTGGACACCCATGTACCCAGCCGAAAAATGAGAGTGAACTGGTTTATGGCCTCGAAATCCGTATAAAGATAGGACTTGGTTCACAGAAGAGGGGGGAGAAGAGAGAAAGAGGTGAATATCGAGCGTCGAGCGATGGATGATGCAAACGAGACAGGTCCATTCGAGGATAGTCCCCTGGCTACCAAAGTGGTTCAATGGGCGGATATCTGGATATTGGGAGTGGCCCCATGCCGACTTCACTTGAAGAAATGCGGCCCCGACGCAGGGAGAGCACCGAATGCGAACGGAGGTGGACGTTCGGGACAGAAAGGCTGACAGTCGGAAAGAAGTCCGGAACCCGAATTGGTCTGCGGTCCCGCGTTCCCGCGTTCGAACCTCTTTCGCGCAAAAAGAAATATGTTTGTCTCATGGAATGGTCTGTAACCGCTACCCCGTTACTCATGTGCTTTTCTGGACTGAAATCTTAGAGAAAAGTCGTCAGTTGGTCATCCTTCGGTGATGACGATCGATATTCAGTAACCATCAGTGCTCTGTTCGAAACTCCTACCTCAAACCGAGATATGAACGGGGTAAGCGCTGGGCTGTGTGGTAGATCTTTGTCAAATTGG